CTGAAAAGAATGGTTAAATTGGTTGACTTTGGGTTGAGTTGTCAACCAACAGATTCACTAAGAAGGAACATACATTATTTTGTGGAAATAGTAATTATGCATGTCCTGAACTGTTACTAAAGAAGGCATATGGATCTGAAGTTGATGTCTATGCACTAGGAGTCCTTCTCTATAAGATACTGTTTGGTTGTTTCCCATTTCGTGGAGCTCAACAGAAATTGCTCATGCACTTTACAGTCCCACTGAAGGATGATGTAAATGGAGATGATGCAATGGGAAGTGATGATTGTGGTCAGAATATTTCGAAATGTTGTAAAGATTTGTTGCATAATATTTTGGAAGTCAATTGTGAAAAGAGATTTTCCATACAAGATATCAAGAATCATCAATGGTACAAGATTGGAAAAACTCAGAAGGTGGATTTACTAGAAAGTCACGAATAAATATATAGCCAATGTTCAAGATTTCCAATCAATCTGTTAAATTCTTTCTTTCATTATATTTTACACACTTTATATTGTGAATCATTTCCACACATATATATGAGAATTGGAGAGATAACAGTTTGGATTGAAGAAGAGCTAATGATGCACATTTATTTTGATTCGAATTTTCAAAAAAGTTGCCTCAAATCATCACCATAATGGTCGTAGAAATTGTTTATTTCAAAGCTCACGAAGAGGTAATTATATTCCGCACATAATGATGGTTTACAATATTTATCACAAAATTGAAAAATAGGAATTATTGAATTATTGAAATTAATTGCACAAGTTGAATTGAATACCAATTAACTGGACTCGAAGGAGAATCGTGGAAAAATCATAAACCATTTACAAGATATGGTCAACTTCCCTACTTGAAAGTTTCAGATGATTTTCATGTTTATCAAACATTGGCAATTGCCAGATATCTTGCTCAGGAAGGTAATTTATATCCTCTCAATGAAAGAAGGGATGCAACTCTCACTGAAGAAGTAGTTGCTTCCTTAAATGAAGTTTTGCTTGAATTCTTTAGAGTTTTCTATGAAATTTGCAATGAAACAGAGAAGGAAGAAGAATTGAAGAAATTTAAGGAAGGAACTTTGCAAAGAGTATTTAGTGGATTGAATAATTTATTGAATGGAACTAAGTGCGGATATTTCATTGAAGGAATGTTGACATGGGCTGATCTTTTTCTTTTGGAAATTGTATTAAATTTAGAAAGTGTTGGAATTGCAAATGAATATCAAAGATTGAAACAAATTTTGATGGAAAATGAGCAAGTTAAGATTCATTTGGAAACGAGAAGAAAATAAACAATTTCATTAATCAAAATCTTTGATGTTGATATCATTCGAATGTTAAATAAGAATTGTAATCTCCAAGATATTCTCATAAAAAAACATAATTATA